GATTAATTGTATGTTTCTTCTTTATTCTCTCAGATGTTTAACATTATATATATATAAGTGTGTGTGCTTTGTTTTTGAGTTATGCTCTTATTCAGATGAATGAAAAATAAATAACAATTGAAATAATTCGATAAAAACAAGTTTGATTTTTGTAAGAAATTAATTCTATTCCACTAGTCTACATATAAAAATTAAATGGGAGAAAAATATAATAATAATAATAATAATAATAAATTCTAATATTGTAGTAAAAGAAGGCGCTTTGATGCTTTTATATTTATAATTAAATGTTGAATACATATCTTTTTATTTTTAATATTTAATTGTCTTTTTAATCAATAAAGTTTTATGTTCTCATAAATATGTTTGGTGGTGTCATTGGTCATCACCAACAACGGAATGAATATTATTCATGAAAATATGTTCCGATCCGCTAGACACGGTACGATCTACTGGATCGAACCAAAAATGGTGTATTCCATTACCAGCTTGTTATACAACAATTATTCCATATGTACCTACTAATGTTGAATATAATGGTCAACAAACATCAAATATCACTACTGTTAATTTTGATATTAATAAATATAATGATATGAATATCATAGATTCATCATTATGTGCTAACAATCAATTAATTCAACGTATTCGACATAAAATCGATCTCTATCAAACACCATCATCGAATGATGCACGTCAAATTCTTCAACACTTAACTGATATCGTAAAAAAACATGTACCAGATTTTGTTTTTAAAGAAACAACTGATAGCAAGCCAAAAAGTAGTCAATTAGAATCAAGTAATTGAATAAATTATTTTTTTTTACTTTTGATTATAATGACAAGTTTTTTATGAAGAGAAAATCAAATGTAATTTTTCCAGATATTCAACAAGGTGTATTGTCAATATCTAATGAGAAAAAATCAAAATCAAAAAGTTCGTCATTTCTACAACGAATTACCAATAGAAAATCGAAAGATTCTTCGTTTCACTCGACAGACTTATCTACTGACGATAATCGAATGATTAAAGATTCGAGTCAATTTTCATCTAAATTAAATGAAAATAATTTTGAAAATATCGATAGCAAAGGTAGGAAAGATGAGAAAAAGAATATTTTACATCGACACATTTATTGATAGTATTCGATTCGAATCCGAGCAATCATCATGATCGAACATCAATAGTGACGAGTATTCCTGTACCTTCACTAATTTCAACTCCACACGTCTCGAAACAACAAGGCACTAGTAGTCGTAAGTAGGTTCCTATGTTGTAAAGAAAAAATGTTGTTCGACATTACGATCAAGTGTATCATTAGAATAATAGAAATGATCAAAATATTTGTTTTGTTTTTTAAATATAGAATTACGACACGCAATACATAATATAATGACAAATAGTAGTGATCATGATAATTCAACAATGAATATTTCAACTCCAAATGTTAGTCCTCATCATCTTGGCAATGATCGTATTATAAGTGCTATCGATTTGAAGAGCAGTCAATATCTGTCACCATCTAATGGTCAACAACAAGCTGATAAAATATTATCAAGAAAGCAAACTACTTCTGTAATTCAGTCACCAACAAATTCTACAAGTGATATTGGTCAACAAAAGTTGCAGACACAATCATTCATATCAAAATTTTTACAAAGATCACCGTCGGTTAATAGTCAATATAACAATCAAGTTCAACATACATTAATAGACAATACTGGAGAACGAAATAACTGGATTAAAAAGTATGTAAAATGCTTTATAAAAATTAATAACTATGTAGACAAATACTTATGATTCAACAAAGGAGAATAAACTGGTTTGTGATTTCTAGAAATTATCAACAGTTCTAGTTTTTTTTTTTTTTTATATAAATTTCATTGAAAGAATTAATAGGCAAGTTACGAATATTATTGATAATTTGAAAGTTGAAAAATAGGCCATTGTAAACAAATATTTTATTGTTATATTATCTATTCTTTACATCGGATAATACAGCAGAGATATAATAATCTAACTTGATTCATATTTTCATTTTCAAACGTCATCAAAATTATCCAAGTTAAAAAATAAATTTCGGAAAGGTTGCCGGGCACACAAAAATGTCTCATGTTATTAATATCTTACAATTTAGTCGAAAGCATTATAGCCCTCAAAATTTCTTATGAATTGCTTTTAATACGCTTCAATAATATGTCCGGTAATTCAGATAAAAGGATGCACATTTAGCTATAATAATTTCTAATAATTACTATTAATTTCTGTTATTTGAAATCAGTTTGTTCTTCGTTGTAATTCACATAAAACATGTTGTTTTTTGGATATATAGATTGAGAAGAAAACTATCAAATAAACATCTAAATACAAGATCTTTCGATGACTTATCACCGAAACATATTTCTCACATAAATGTAAATGATCAGAACAACATTGATGTTAATCATTTACATATGAGAGAAGCAATGGCTGTTTTAGAACAAGATCTTACCAAAGAAGCATTTCAAGCATTAATCAATAAAAAAAAAGATTCTCAACAAAACAGTTTCATGCGAATACTAACAGGACCTTCACGGTGTTGTCGTTCATATCGTACTCAACGACGTCTAGCAACAGTTGTTCAACGTTCCATTGATATTGCTATAAAAGATGTACCAATGTCTCCAATAAATAATAACATGCAATCATTTAATTATCAAAAAAGTACTAACCAGACTAGTTCACATAAGAATGACTCATTTATCAATTCAAAAAATAATAGTTACAATATATATGCCAAATTACCATTAATACATGCAGCCAATACTTGTCTAGAAAAAAACTTTCATAACAATTCACCATTAAAACCACATCAATATAAAAGAAGAAACAGATTGTAATTATTATAAATTTTCTACTAATGTACATAATGATCAATTTTTGTGGTCGCCATATCATTAAAACTGTCCAGTAATATCAAAAAATAGAACTAGTCTTATTTGAAGATTTTTTTTTTTGAAAATGATGAAGAAAAAAACGAATAAATCTGACTTCAAATCGATTTGATATTTTCGTTTATTATGTGTTTGTTTAAATGTTTATATGTATCTTGCTGTAACGAAAAAGTATAGTGATTGTCATTTAAGTAGTGAGAAAGAAAACGATCAAACTTTCATAAATTTTTATTTAATTCATTTGTATGCTAAATAAAATTGAATCCGTTTTGTTTTCTTTTACTCTCATTTATGTCCTCATTGATATTACAACAGTTGTTTTTTTTAATAGCTGTGCGATAAAAAATTAAATTATCTCTACGACTAAATTTTCTTATCAATGATAGAAGAGTGTACAAAGATTTTTTTTTGTTTATAAGAAATTCGTTAATAAGCATTGTTTTCGGTTATCGATCTTCGCTTCAATATGTATTGTAACCTTTCATGAGTTCAGAAAAAAAAACAAGAAATACAGAATACCTCGTGCATACGTTTATGATTTTAATGCTTGATAGGAATAAGAAAAGTTAAGATAACCTTTATTCAAGACGAAAGAGGCAATCGAGTATATGCGGAAGAAAAGAATGCATGCATAGATGACTTTGTTTATGTTATTTTATATCAATATAAAACGTTACACTATCTTATTGAAGTGAATCTCGACAACAGAAAGCAGTGTTGATTAATGATTCTCTTAGGAAAAAAAAAACTTTGAATATTCATGTATTATTGATTAAAAAAAATCAGCTCAATAGCTTCGAGCCGAGTGAAGATATCCCAAAGGAGAACAAGCAAACTTTTCGTACTTCACCCTACTCCAACAATATATCAAAGTTATCTTCTAGAATTTCTTAGCTATTTCAAGCCTACTATTAATATCGGTCACGAACATATTAGTTTGAACTTATTTTATATAAGTCTGTTTATCAATAAAGTCTAAATAATTCAGCGTATGTTTAAGCTAGATTGACAAACAGACTTATATAAAATAAGCTCCAACTAATATGTTCGTGATCGACATTAATAGTGGGCTTGAAATAGCTAAGAAATTCTAGAAGATAGCTTTGGCATATACTTAGAGTACGGTCAAGTATAGATTTTTTGTTTGTTCTCCTTGAAATATTCAAAATTTCTATCATAAAGATGTTTATGGCTCATTCCGTAGAGTATAAGTCTTCATCATGAAATATATCGATCCTCGAAAGTTTTAAGAAAATTTGTAAATCAAATATTGAATATCAAGTTATGTGTATAAAAAAAATATGATTACACAGAGCCTTCTGGAATAAACAATTATAGATAAGCTAATAACTGCAAATATTCTTTTTGTCATTTCCTGAACAAAATAAATTTGATTATTTTTTTAAATTGATCGAATCTTTGTGAAAAAACCGATAAGCAACTATGAACTATCTATTCATTATAAGATCCTGGTGGTGAACATCTGTTTTTTATTTGTTAGATCCTCGACTTTATGGATATTTATAATTCTAATAATCATTTGAAGAAAACCAAACTAAGAATAGAAAGTTAAAATAAGATTAAAATATAATGAACTTATAAGTATCCTTCGAAGATACGATGATTATCGTTTTTAATGGTGTGCAGATGGCTCATTTACGATCAAGAAAGTTACTGTCAGATACATCCTGGCATGTTTTCTCAATGATGTTAATTCGTCGCAAATCATTTTGTTTTCCTTTTTCTTCCTTCTTCTCATGCTTTGTTTAATCAGTCAGACATATACATCTAAATAAGCGACGTGAAGAACGAACATATAACAAGATCTTAACTAAAAAAAGGATGATGATTTTAAACATAAATAATGCTATTTCTTTGTTCTTCTATCTTCTCGTCGTTTTAATTTTATCATCAGTTAATTCGATACCTTTAGAATCCAAACAATCTTCATCATTAATACCAACATCCTCCGAATTTAAACGATTGGCTTCACATTGTTATATTAATGATTATGCAGCATGGTTAGAACGACAACAAGAATTAATGATGTGGCTTAATTTGGCTAAATTACTTAAACTACCAATCGAAGAAAGTAATATAATAAAACAAGAATTGGAACAATTTCGACTTCAATATGAATGTTTACGTGTTATTGAACGTTTACCTCTGTCCGTGGGCCCTGGATAAATATAATGATTTAAGAAACCAAAAAACGAATGTTTAAAATTATTAAAGATACTAATAAAATTTAAAAATCTAGTTGTTGTATATTAATAGACAAGCAGATTCTTTTATGTTTCAACTTTAAAATACATGTTGAAGTTCAAAATTAAGGTTTCATCTAATTTTGAATAGACATAGATCAATCTTGCATGCAAAATTGGATGCATCCAATTATTGAATTGATGTTAAAAGCCCATTGATGTCGAATTCTTCTTCATCAAGTGCGAGAAAGAAATGACATCTCAATAGAATTATCAATGGATGAATTAGGTGAAGATTTTGAGCGCTTATGGGTAGTTTTCTATTGAGACTAAGATGTTTTTTCAAAGGGTTGAATTTGCTAGAGAAGTGTTTTAGCTTTCGAATGACGTACTTTTCCTGTAGTACTTTATTTTCTCGATGAATAGAAGAAGAATAGAAGTCCTTAGGCATGTCCAATTTTAGATCGACCTTTCTCAAACATATTTTGTTTGAACATTTTCTCAATGAAATAAAAGAAATAATATTTTTTTACTGATCAAAATTTGCCATTCGAAATTTAAAAAATTTCTCTATCGAACTCATATCATAAAAAAGATCTTAGTCTTGATGCAACATATTGATTTCATGTTTATTTACATCGGGCAAAATACTCAATGCAAAACACTAATTGTGTAAATACATATCCATAAACTTACAGACTTAAACTTAATGAATCAACTGATAATTGCCTTAATTAAAACCTCATTATTCCAATTCAATTACGTACACACTAGTAGTAGTTTACTGGATACTGAATTGATTCAAGTATTCACATATAGTATAGTACTGATGTGAACTACGATATTGAACCGGTTCATTATTCTTGTAATATTATTGCGTGTTCAATCGTTACTACGCATTCAAACTATAAATTAATTTACTATATATTAAAAAGACTTTTCCAGGACACTGAATCAAAAAGAGTTTTCTTCCATTATCATTTTTGTTTTGACTACTTCCTTCCACTATTGACAACTATTTAGCTTAATAAATGATTTCTTGTGTCTTTTGCAGAGAAAACTGCTTCCTATTTAACTATTGTTGAAGTCAAAAAAAAAAGAAAATTCTTATTCATTGAAATGATAATCAAAGAAATATGATGAGTTTTATACAAGTAATGACAAATTATAATTAATCACGATAATCATTAATGCATCCCAAATCATTTAATATCAGCTTTATTCTATTTTTATATAATTGCAAGAGCAGCTTTCACGACTTTTTTTCTGAATTTTTGAATAAATTCCGGTATCTGCTATTGTTTCGTAATTTATTGGGACTTAAACGTGCGAGTTTAGACGTGAGCATGGGTGCCTTAAATAATAAACCTGCTGAGAGATAGTATATGCAGAATATATCCGGTAAACTATAATGATTCAGTAGTACGTGGTAGAATTATTAATAGGGATAGTAATTGGGATCTTTTTTTGGCATACTATTCAACTCTAACGACTGAGCTATCCGGTGTTATTAATTAGTTGTAAAAATTTTAGAATAGTAACTATTACTATATATTGATCCTGTTATGTTTAGAATGTATACGCTGGAAAAAGAATCAATTCGCTGAAGAATCGGTTCGTGTTAGATAGTTGAGGGCAGGGAAATGCCAATAGAGATATATGTATCTCGGATAGATCTACTAAAGAATTATTTGATGTGAAGGAGTTTGTATAACAATCCTTGTGGTAGAATTATTTTAGATAAATCTTATAAAAGACAATACTTTCATAATATATGACACAGAAAAAAAAATATCCCATAAAAATAAGTTTCGGTAGTTCCTGACTGGCACCCACTTCACCAGTGACGACTGTGATTGGTGCATTTCTACTTTCAATTCATGAATAAGAAGCCAAATAAGAAATCGATCTACATGCTAGCTCGAGTGTTAACATCAATTTACCTGTCAATTCAACATTGAATGCATCTAATTTCACATCCAAGATTGGACGTAGCCTTATTTTGGATGCTAACATATAGATATAACTTGATCTTATCAAACATTCTAGTATTAAAGTAACAATTAACATAGTGATTAAACAGAGATATGATAGAATTTTTTTTAATCCTTTTCAATCACTTAGTTGGTGAATCATTACAAAGGAGAAAATTTATAATGTTACAGAATATATACCAAGACCAAAAGCAGTTGTATTAACTTTTTCTTGACATATCTCGAACTCGTTTCACCACTACCCTCATATGTAATTGCCGCTCTTGTGGTGCTTATTTCATATCATGAAACAATTAGAGACGAATCCGTGATAATGATTTTTTTTTTGGTTCAAAAATTCATTAGAACAAAGAAATAATCAACGGTTGAAAAAGATTAGAATCATACAAGACTTCATATTGATTGACTTATTTTCTAACCATGCTTTTTCTTTTTCTTTACAGCAAAAAGAAAGAAACAAACTGAAGAAAAAAAAAGATTAACAATCGACAACGACAAAAATTCTTTTCTCTTGTCTATAAATAAAAAAAAATATTGCGATGTTATTTTCTTTCGTTCTCACACAACAACAACAATAACATCCACATGAATATAATGCTTATAAAACTTAAATATAGAAATGATTTCATGTCTTGAAGATTTACCTGATGAACTTCTACTTGATATATTTTCTTATTTATCTCCTATTGATTCATTTATTTTATTTTCTTATATAAATAATCGTTTTAATTCAATTTTATGTGATCAATCAATACAACTTGGTATACAAATAACAAATAATAATTATAATAAAATCAATTATTTTGCTGATTATTTTACTCATATACATATATGTAATGATAATGATATTGATATTCGTCAATTTAATAATGTACGTTCATTAATACTTGGTCCATATCCAAAACCAACCGATGAATTATTAAATCAACTTGTTGAACAACCTTTAAAATATTTTCCTTATCTTACTCAATTAACTGTTTATCAATCATTATCAACATGGTATTCTCCACCATCGGTTCGTCTTTGGACACAATTATTTACAAATAAATTTTCTTCTCGATTAAAACATTGTTCATTACCTGGTCGTATATTTGCATTACCAACGACATTTTTTTATTGTCCTTCACTTCGTAGTCTTTCAATTGGTGGTTGTTCACTACGAGATTTACCTATATTATTATCAACTTTACCTAATTTAAAATTTCTTTCAACAGATCTTTGGGGTATTGCTGATATAAAAAATCAATCATCTTATCATCATTCTAATCTTTCACATATATGCATTAAATTTAATCAACAAACGATTGTTTTAGAAGAGCTTAGTTGTCTTTTATCGTATGTTCCATATTTAAAAATATTTACAATTGAAGGAACACAAAAACATGATACATTTAATATTGATTATTGGTATAATGTATTAATTAGTCAATTTGAATATTTAAAAAAATTTTATTGTACTATTCGTCTTAGTGATAGTATTGTAAATAATAAAATTGATATTAATTATATAAGAAACTTTAATAAATTATTTTCTCATATGAAATTATATCGTCGAAATGATAGTCCTTTTATTTCAAATCAATAAATTAACATTATTAAAGTTGTTATATAGATTCTAATTTTTTTAGTATTTATAATGAATAATTGTATTTATATTTTGATATAATAATAAACTTATAGTTACATATTTAGATTTTCTATATCATGAAAGAAATCCAGGGATTAGATCTGTATCATGATTCAAAGTATTTATTTCATTTTTTGTTATTTGAACTTTTTCATTTCCTCTACTACTGTCTGTCATACAGTGTATCATTTATTTTTTCTAAATTAATAAATTTAATTTTGATATATTTTGTCATTTCAAGAATTAATAAGCAAGTATAATGCTTATTTGCAATGACCTTTTTTCAATGGTGATTTGATTTAATATTTCTGATGATTTATTTCATCATTTAAAGAGAATAGTGTATTCTGTCTATTCTGAATAGCTAATATAATTTTCATCTCACGTTATAATCAAATTTCTACATGCTATGTCAGAAAAAAGAATGTAAAACGTTAAAAAAGATAAAATATTCATTGTTAATGATTATGATTACCTCGAAAAAAACAAAACGACGTGCTTTTCATACTTGATACATTGAAATGTACAGGAAGAAAAATTATACACAGAGTTATTAAAGAGTATTCATCGTTTATCATTGAAGAGAGATATACATATTACAAAAGAAAAGAAAAAAAATGGAATGGGCCTCAAATTTAATTTCAGAAATCTATAAATATCTCAATCATCGTGATGATACAGGTATTGATCGTCTTAATCGTTTATATACAGTGGCACTTCTATCAGCATTTGTTACATTAATTTCTTCTCAAGAATACGTTGTTGGTGAACGTATTATTTGTTGGACACCAAAAGAATTTACTGATGCACATAAGACATATGCATATGATATTTGTTGGTTAGGTCATAGGAATTATTATGTACCAGAAAATATTACTAGATTAGATAATCCATCATCTCCAAGAAATCATCCATTTTCAATTTATCCATGGCTTTCAATAATTTTAATTGGTATGACAGTAAGTTTTACTTTACCATATTTACTTATTTGGCATGGATTATCAACAAGATCAGGTATTGATATAAGACGATTAATAGAATTAAATCATGATGACGCATTAACTCGATCAATTCATTTTATATTATTCAAAAACTATTCAATGAAAAATAATGGAGGAATTTATGTAATAAGTATATATTTAATAATGAAAATTTCTTATATTATTATTTTATTTGGTCAAATTATTCTTATAAATAAATTATTAATAGGAGAATATTTTAAAATTGATATTGAACAAATTTTACAAATTTTATCAGTTAAATATAATATGTGGTCATCAGTAAGTTATTTATTTCGATTTGTTTTCAAAATTATAAAATGTGAATTTTCAAGGCATATTTACCAATTGAAACAATGTGTGGTAAGTTTAATAATACAAGAGAAAAATCGAAATTAATTTTTTTTTTAATATTTAGATTTTATGATTCGAATGTTAGGTATGATCATTTTATATTTTTACTTTCTGTTTGTTTTTTGTAAATAAATACTTTTGGTGAAAAAAAATAGGTCAAAATAATAATTGGTTTACAATACAATGTATTTTACCATTTAATTTATTTACTAAACGAATATTTGCTTTATTAATCATATGGTTTACTATTTTACTAATTTTAAATATCATTGATTTCGTATATGTTTGGTTATGGCGACGATTATGGTTAAGTTCACATAGATATGATTATATTTTTAATTTATATAATTTATATGAGACATATCTTCGTATGTATAAGTTGATAATGAGAATAATATAGAATTTTATTTTTATTTCTTTTTAGAGAAAAATATAAATAATCAAATGAAACAAATGCAAATTCATAATCCAATACTTCGTCAAGAATTTGCTTATAATTATTTTAAAATGTAAGAATGAATTTATAACATAAAAATGAATTAGACTCCTTTTTTCTTCTTATAGAGATGGTTATTTATTACTTAAATTCTTACATGCTAATTCATCCGATATAAATATGAGTTATCTTGTTGCTAATCTGTTTAATCGATTTTTACAAGCAAAAACTGAACAATGGAGAACAATTAAAAGACATGATTATAATACTTTTGTATAAATATGAGAAAAAGCAATAGATTTTTTTGTAGATCTTCTGCTATAACAGATGTACCAAAAGTTTTGCAATATGCTTTCGTTGGCACATAATGTATCACCTAAATTTTTCTGTCAAACGATGCAGTATTTCATTGCCTATACACACCTCTATGGAGCTTGATTTAGAACATCGCTATGTATTGATTTGATCGAAAGAAAAAATAGTGAACATGTTCCAGACGTCATTAAGCGTGTGGGTATGGGATGTGTATCTCCTCTTTAAGCACACCTACACCCTATTATTTCTTATTGGTATGCTTATAAATCTTTCACTGTGTTGCATGCCATAAAATATCTTCATGTCACTGGTCGAGAACCTCAAAATAAATTGTTTTTGGTATAATTATCTTCTTCTAAGATGTTCGTTGAAAAACGAGTAACTAATGAAGGAAATTTCGCTAGTCTCAAAATATAATATGCTATTTGATTTCGAGAATGTTCATCTAAAATAGTTCGTAAATACATAAAATTGACAGAGCCTTTCAAACATTGTTGAGCATAAGATTTTGATTATTCATCTCCATAAAAAGAATAAATAACTATAAACTATTTGGAAAGCAAGCTCAATTTACTGAATCACAGAACGTAGATTACAAAAAGTTAAACTTTCATAGAAGTGTTTTGGAAATCAAATACTACATCTTTTACCGGGAAAATTCGAGTGATGTATTATTTTGTCAGCTCAACTGTTTGCCAAAGAAAGAATGTTGTAAAACTTTTGATAAACACCCAATAATAAAAAATAATGATTGATTTCGAATTACGGTTTGTTATACTTAATTGAAAATTTATTGAATAAAATTAAATGAAGAAGCTTTCAAAGTAACGTTTTGATTAACATAAATTTGATTGGATGAAATATTATATTATTTACAATAAGATTATATTTTCTTGATACTACAACAAGGGGAAACAAACTGATTACTAATACTATTATCCGTTTCAAAATATAATGTCCTCCACTGTTTTTTGAATAACTTTTCATAGGAACATTGTAGAGACCTGCGGTTTTCGCCATTCGAGAGAGGACACCAGGGGACATCGAAACATAGTCGAANTATATTTTAAAGACATCTATATTAATTGTAACATTTTCTCGAAAGTACCTGAATAAAATGTGAATACTTGATTTGAATATAGTTATAAAGTTTTTATCAGATTCTTAAGTCTTTTATAATTCAAGCTCAACTCATAAGCCCTGCCCTGTCCTGAGGGCAGAGCAGGACAGAGAACAGGGCAGGGCAGAAAAAAGTGCACTGTGACGGTCTCTGGTCCTAACTCAAACCTTTTGACTCCTTGTAAATATTTTCAAGAGATTTAAAGCAATAATCAAATATTTTGTCTCGACATTTTTAGTCCACTCATTTACCCATAGAGGTGGTGCATTAGAATTAGCATTGGCATTTATTAATACTAATGCTAATGCATTAAGCATTAACATTAAAATTAACCCTAATGCTTTAGCATTAATGGCATTAGTGTTAAGTAATGCATAGGTGTTAGCATTAAATTAACATTATTTTTAACACTAATACTTGGATTCAGAATACAGTAGAAAATTGTTCTGTTTTCGGAAATATGACTCATTGATGACTCATCCGTGAGTCATAGTTCCCAAAAACATGAAAATTTTGTTCTGTTTTGGGAAACTATGACTCACTGGTGATTCACTGATGAGTCATTGACGAGTCATATTCGGGAAAACAGAACAATTTTCTACTGTATTCTGAATCCACGTATTAGTGTTAAAAATAATGCTAATTTAATGCTAACACCCATGCATTACTTTATTCTAATGCCAATAATGCTAAAGCATTAGGGTTAATTTTAATACTAATGCTAATTTATCACCCCTATTGACCCATGTTAAATTAAACCATGCGATAAAAGAAAATAGGAAAAAAAATTAATTAAAACTTAAAAGTGCGCAATTTGAATACAAAGTCTATGTAATTTTACATAAGAAAACAATAAACGTAATTCTTTTGTTGTTTTCGATAAATATATCCTTGTATCATTTTCATTGTACCGTAACTAATGTGTTTCATTGCTATATACTTTAATTGCCTTACAGGTCAACAAGTTAATCAGCTAATTCTAGGTTCTAGAAAAAAATATTCAATACTAAAAAAAACAAAATTAGATCGAATGATAATAGAAAATTTCTAAAGATTTCTTAAAACGAACAATTGTATATATAAGCTGTTAACAAATTCATCAACAGGAATCAATAATACTTACTATATCATCATCAATATATGACAAAAAAAAGTGAAAAATTTGTTACGTTCTATTCATTTATATTTATTCTACATTTCAATGAAATGATTTGATTATATCATTTTAATGTAAATCTTATAATTTGATTTTTATGTAATCTATAGTTCCTAGTTTTATTTTTACCTTTTGTTATTAAGAAATATGCATACAATTAAACAATGTGATGAGCCAGGTGATATATATTGCACATGTTTCTTTTGTATGCTTGTCTCTTATACTCGAGCAAACATATTATTCTTTTTAGTTTCTTAATATATTGACACTTACATTTTTCATAAAATATTTGTACTTTATACATCAATAAAACTATAAATTGTTGATTTATCTACTCTTTTTCTTTTTGTTGCACTAATTTATCGAATTCAATGCTCAATCATATACCTGATACACAGAATACAAATGATAAAATTGGAGGTTTTCTACCACCAAATAAAGTAGTTAGTATTGATGATGACAATGAATTTGAAATTAATGATAAATTATTTCCGCCTGAATCATTTGAATTGGATCAACAACGCAAATCATCTCTATCTTCTTTCCAAAGTAAATCGAGCACAAGTGCTATAGTTCCACCAAGAAATGCTACTGTTGATATGGGTAAAAAGAAATTTTTATTATTTATTTAAATACTTTTTTTCTGTACTGTGAGTAGGATTGATATATATAAACATACATCAGTTATGATTTCAAAAATATTAGAACTCACGTTGAGAATTAGATCAAGGACAAAAATAGATAGAAATATTTTATTTTTATATTTCTTCTATCTCAATGCAGAGACATTTTTGATACACGAATGAATATATATTCAAAAATAGTAACATAGCAAGTAAACAATTTACTTCAACTGGAGCTGTTTTTTTTCGTTGCTTTTATCTAAGTGCATATATGAGTCGCTGTTCTATATTTCATACCAACAGTCTATCTTCTATCATATAAAAACTAAATTTTGAGAATAGAAAGAGAAATGTTACCAATGATGTATCATCTGTGTGTACTTCATCCTGGTTATCATTTTGATGAGAAGAAAAATATGAGACGAGATATGCAACAACGACGGAATATTGATGCTTATATTTATCATGCTGTACCAATAACTTGTCTTGATGAACAAACATCGATAACATATTCAGATTTTGGTTTGTTTTATTTTAAAAAAATTATATTAAAAATAAACAAAATATCAATGATCGTATTAGATGATTTTATATTTTAGTTCAACGACCAATATTTCAAGGTATCAATTCGGATGCTATTCGATCACGAAGTCCAGGGCTTCGTTTATTAGCTGAATGTCTTGCTGAATTATTAGGTACAGCTATCCTTGTTTTATTTGGATGTTCAGGCATTGCTCAATATACTCTTTCACATGGTGTTCTTTCAAGTTTTTTATCGGTTAATTTTGCTTTCGGTTTTGGAGCAATGATTGCTGTTTATGTTGCTGGTCCTATATCAGGTTAATTTAGTCTATTTATTCTTATTTTCTAAAAGAAATCATTATATTGTGTTGTATGATTAGGTGCTCATATTAATCCAGCTGTATCAATTGCGATGTTAAGTTTACGAGCAATTACACCATTACAATGTCTTACCTATATTCTATCTCGTATGTATTTGAAAAATATTTATCTAAGATTATTATTTGTTTGCTAACAATGGAGGTGCTTGTGTTGTTAGTTAATAAGATTAGATATATTCGGGTTAAGTTAAAGCTTTCATCGTCAAACTAACAAATTTAAGATATAGGTTGTTCTTGACTTGTACGAACCAAGATATTCGAATTTTAAGGTAATTACAGTATATGTAAAGTATTTGTATTGCAAAATCTCTCCAGAGGTTTTTTGATGATTGGAAAGAGCTCATAGAGTTATGTAAGGAAAAGTATGATTTAAATAAATAAAAAAGAACATTTCATGAAAAATGTTCAAGACATCATCATTTTCAAATATAAGAGAAAATAAACCGAAAATTCGAGCTTTTGCAAAACTTTCCTAAAATTTGAATCATACTTTTTCTTATGCAACGCGATGAGTACTATCCAATCATTAGAAGAGAATTTCTGCTGGAATTTTGAACTGCAAGCACTTTACACATACTGTAAATGTCTTAGAGTTCGAATATCTCCGGTCGTGTACGTCAAAAGCAATCTTTAATTTATATTTCATAGTTGGCAGTGAAAGATTTATTTTGACCCGAATATGGTCATTTGTAATTAAAATCAAGTAAAATTATCTATAAAGATTTTATTGCTAATGACATGATGTAGACATTTTTTCTCTTTTGCTTTTCTTCAGTCAGTATTGATATAATACCGTTACAAACTTATAATCCATTTGTATATATTTTTTCACTTTGATGTGAAGCCTGAATACTTAAACAACTTCTTCAGGGGTTAATTCAAATACATTTATTTGTTCTTACTCTTTTTCTCTCTAAATTTTATATATGATCTGTATTGCTCTATAAAGAGTTCTTTGATGTGTGTCACTTTTAAGTGAGTTCCTGTCTACTCCTCATTTTTGTTTACATAAATTTGTCATTGAAATTTTTCTTTGAATTTACAAAAACGAAATGCGTATTTTGTCAGCGATACAAAAATATGCGTTATCCTCTCGAAGCGGCAAAATTCAACCATTGAATCCATACACCATCCATCTTATTTGTTTTTTTTTATCGATTTAGCATAGATTGCCATCAAGATGAATATTTGTTTTTCATTTAAAACTTAAATAAAATAATTACTTAACAGAATTTATTTTATTGACTGATTTAATTTTTAGAGTTTATTGGTGCATTTATTGCAGCTGCTTTAGTATTTGGAACCTATTATGATGCAATAAATCAATTTGATCATGGTGTACGAAAGGTAAAGAATTCTTTTTCTTTTTGAAAAGATAGAAAAAAAAACTAAATTTCGATCAAAATCAATTAACATTAGGTAACAGGTCTAGAATCAACTGCTGGAATATTTGGTACATTACCTGCACAAGGTGTTAGTCAAATATCACTTTTCTTTGATCAAGTTCTTTCAACAGCTCTTTTCCTTGCTGCTATTTGTGCATTATCAAATAAACGAAATAAACTTGTGTCAAATGCTCAAGTTCCACTTGCTGTTGGTTTTATTATTGTTGCAATTGGTGTTGCTTTTGGTATTGAATAAATTAGTTTTAATCTATTTTTATTTCTGCTTTTTCTTTATTTCAAAGGATACAATTGTGGTTTTCCAATTAATCCAGCACGTGATTTTGGTCCACGTTTATTTACTCTTTGTGCTGGTTATGGATCAGAAGTATTTAGTGTTGGTAATTATTATTTTTGGATACCATTGATAGGTCCCATATTTGGTGGATTAATTGGCGCATGGACTTATTATGGTTACAGTAAATTAATGAAAATACATATTGGTGAAGATGATAAAGAAATAGCTCGTGCACGTTATCAACTTGATTTACAAAACACAACACGCTTGTAATTCGAACGTCAACAATAGATAAACAAACAAAAACACAACAAGAAATTCCAATTATTCAGACTTTTATAGTGGTGTATGTATTGAAAAAAATCGTTTTCGGTCAGGATAGTACTGTATTAGAGGTGATTGTCAACTAGAAAGTATTTTTTTTTGTTTTTTTTTCTATTGCATAATGCATATTCATGTTTTCTGTATGTTAACTTTTAATGTAGCAAAAACAAATATATCAAATCTTCGCTGTAAAATTCTTTCTTTTTCTTATGAAAAATGTTAATCATTCGATGTGAAATATTATCAGTAGCAGTCTGATTTGACAGAAAAGACATGGAAAAGAAATTATTAATTATGGAATTTGAATTATTCTCTTCTATATGACTAGAAGTGTAAGCTAGTCGGTTGAGACGTCATCGTCGTTACTACTGTAAATAGTTGTTGAAAATTTCAGTAACTACCTCTGGAAAATAATAATTGATTGTAGATTTTTGAAAGTTTTCTATAGTTTTTAGACATATTCTTGTTTAGTTTATTTGTATCACGTTCTCTACCATCATTGCTTCTCTTTTTTTATTTCAAGATTTTGCGGAATTAAAAAGATTTTTAAGAAAAGCATCGAAAAATTGTAACCGCCGATAAATGCATTGACTTACGTGTCTACATATAACTTCATGTTGAAAGATATTGAAAATAAATGTTTGCTGGTTGGAACTATATACGATTATAATGAATACTTTTTTGATTAAAACCTCATCAGAGATCATCAATTTCGTCTGCGATTCTTCTTTATTTTGCTGCCAATTTCAATAAGTAGTTGTATTGTTTTATTTTGTACATATAATTTATGTATAATATTATAGAACTTGCACATTAGTAGATTCAATCGAAGAATAAAATCATATTTTAATAGTCACTCTTATTGAGCATTTAAAATAGAAAAGAATTTGAACGAAAATATTCATTCTATATTTGAATTCTCTTTTCATTAAACTTAAGACAATCTTATTGATATGAAATTTTAAAAAATCGAGAAGAAATAATTGAAGAATGAAAACGGATGTGACTAGTAGCTTGCATCAATTAAAAAAAAATATCAGTTTCATATCTCTTCTTTAGTCTGATGAATAATTTTATTTTACATTAAGATATATCATATTGCAAGATGATATCAAATTATACTTGTACAGTATCTGAAATGTATTTGAAAACAGATATTAAAGGATTAAATCAATATAATCTACGTAATCAATTTTGACTAGACATATAAAAAGCGATAATTTTTATGTTACACTTTATAAAAACATGTTTTCATTCTACATACAACTTGTTTTTCTTTTTCTAATTTCGTACAACTATGTATCTGGATTATCAAAATTACTTCCACATTGTCAATGTGAATGTTGTCCAGGTGCACAATGTCAATCTCAATTATTAATATTTTCTGTTGATACATGTAATGAAAAAACATGTTCTTTTGAACGATGTTATAAAATGTATCCAAAAATATGTGGTCTTACACCTGGTATTACTAATACATCATGTAGTATTGTGAGCGCACCTGCAACTACTGTATCTTATGTTACTATTTCTTTATTGTCGAATGTTACATCATGTAATGTTATTTTGCCAATGATGATTATTATGAATCTTCTTTTCTTTTGTCTTTTTAAACATTTTTAAACTTTATGAAAAAATTGTTTTAAATTAATTAAGCATTATATGTATTTTATAAATATAAATAGTTCTAGTAGAATGAATAGCAAGAAAAAAAATGTTCAATGAAATGAAATTTTTATTTTTATTTCAAAGCAAAAAAGAAAAGAAAAAAAACTTCATATTTACATTTATGTTCGTTTCGGATATATATTCTTAGAAATAAAATAAACTACCATGTAAAATTGTAATACCACCTAATACATAACTAAGAACAGTATCAATAAGAAAAATAAAAGCTGAATAACCATTAACATTAATTAGTTCATATATTTGTATGAATGTTAATGTCATTGATATGCCTGCACTGAATAATGTTAACGGTACAAATATATAATATCGATTGCTACTATTTACAGTTGTTATCATTAAAAGAAATGATGAAAATGTACTTATTAAAAGAATAATAATACTAAGAAAAATTAACATTGTTATTGTTCGATTTAATTCTTTTGTTTGACAACAACATGTACTTAAACATTGTTGAAATAAACCTGTACGATTATAATTTGTATGAATATACCAATTAGTTGTTGATATTGATAATATAGTTGTTGTTAAAATAAATGTTATAAATATGAAAAGAAGTAAATCAATAGCTAGTTTTTGATTTGAATACATCGATATATTTGGAAAAAAAAATAATAGTAAAGAAAAATGATGAATGTTTGATTGTGTTCTTGACTTGTTGAAATTTGATATATACAATCTGTCTGTTGTTTTATATGATATCATTGAAGAATGAAAATCATAAAGTTTGTCTTTAATTGATCATGAAGATTTTTTTTCTGTGTATTCATTAATAGTATTTTCATCTGTAGAAGACAATAATTTTAGTCTTGATGTTTCTGTAATTGTCTTATGTTTATAAATCTATAGAAAAAAAAATAAAAAAAAAAAAAGCAAAAATTAAAATGTTTCTTTACCATTGCTAAATGATGTGTTTTGTTTAGAAATTGTTCAGTATCAAGACCAATTAATTCATCTAATTTATTTCCATGAAAATACCATTGAATAGTAGGAATTGTTATCTGTCAATATATATATATATGCACAATGTATTTCGTTCGTTACTTCAGTTCGCAAACATTAAAATATATGTATCTCAGGAAAATAAACTTTTCTAAAGTTAATTTTTATATGTGACATGGATGTTAAGTTATTCTAACAATCAGCACTTCAGATCTTTATTCAGAATACTAAAAAACTAGCATTAAGAAAAGGACATCGATTTTCACTTCATGCATTTTAGTTTAAAAAAACAACTCTGAATCGAGACAGCATTTTTGAAAACTAAATCGTAAATTCTGTAGACAACTCCTGAGACTACTATAGAAAACTGGTTTGTCACAGGAATTTTTTTGAAGTCTTATCTGGCTCAAAATTTCACTTTAGATGCGGTCCGTGCCGTAATGTTTATTATGCAGTTTTCAGAGTTTCTTTTTTATATGGTCAGTGAAATATTTACTGATTACTTTTTAATTAATAGTCAATTGAAAGAGCCATATGTCTATACCAAAAATAACTTCTTGAAAAAAATAACTCTTGAAATGGATATGTCCTGTTTTTTGTCTGAAAACTGGCTCATTTATATACAATGAACAATATTTTGTTTAAAAATTCGACTAACTATTTTCAAACGTTGAATTAATTCAAGATTATTTTCATCAATATCAATACGATAAAAATTGATATGAGTTAAATTTTTCTCATATGATAAATCAAATATAGTGGATAAAATTATTTTCGAACCAAGTGACCAACATACAGTAAATACAATAATATTTAAACGTTGTTCAAAAATAATTTCATTTAATTCATGTTCTTTTGAAAGAATATATAGAGGCATTTTAAATAAATAATATTTAATGGCGCATTATTACATTTTAAAATCTTTTCTTCTTATTCACTTACGAATGCCTTTTCATTCTCGATGTACATCGAATGATATACCGTTTTTTCGTATTCTTATTTCATTTCGTTCAATGCTTATAATTAATCGTTATTGTCATTCATTAAAAATACTTAATTTAATTCGTTCACATTTTTGTTTATTAAAAAGTTTTTTACCAATAATTTTACATGAAGTCAATACAAATGAAGAAATTATTTTAAATAATGATACTAACTTATCAAAACCAATAAATACTGGTATTTATTTAGCTTTACTTAAATATGATGATATGAAATATCAACCATTAATTGATTTAAAATTAATTCCAATAGAAATTTTTCCAGAAAAAAGTTTTTTACCGAAATCTATACCATTTATTATTTATGAAATAGAACCATTTGTAAAAACATTAAGTAATTTAATTGATTATATGAAAGAATATGAAAAAACAAAAATTATTTGTCGAAAATATATAAATATTAAAAATGAATCAAATAATCATTCACCATTACATAGTATTAGTCAAATATCAACAACAAAGCGTACTAGTAAAAATCTTTTTTTCAATAAAATAACTTTATGATATATATATACGTTATGGGACTAAATTGAAATTTGGCTTGGTATAAATTTATATAATCATGCGTTTTACTGGAAGTAGAGTGTAATGAAAACAAGAACCTATCAGCGCAGTTCCGGCAGGATTCAAATATGAAACATGCTGTAGCTGCTGTTACTAATTAGAATGGAAATCGTTTATTCTATGTATCTTGGGACACGTGTTTCCACTCTCCTTCTCCTTAATCTTCCAAGGAATGCAATAAGGAAATCATTAATATGTTGTAACGATCCGTTATTGATATACGATCACAGACCGTATATGAACAACATCTGTCATAGTCTATTGAAGAGAGAGTGGGTTCAAAGTTCTACCCAATATACTTCAACACCCATTTTACATCGTGTTTCACAAAAGAGAGAGTACTTAGGGTATACCAAAAGTTCTGATCACAGTTTTTAAAATTTAATAAAGCAATAAATATTGAATATTTTACTAAGGCAATATATAGTATAACGTCTCGTCTTNCCGAAGAAAGATTATGTAATTGATCTAACTCGATAAAATCTTCTCAAAGTGCAAAAACTTTGAGAGAGAATTTTCTAAAAAATTTCGTTTTAAAATATGTCTAATCTTTCAAAACTAATTTCAATCGAATTCTTTCGTGAATATTTGCATTAGACACTGCTGTTTCTAACCAAAAAAAAAACAATGAAGCCTCTACGCCATTTAGTCATAGCGTAATGTCTCAAACAAAATATATCCAGAATCTTGCATGATCCTTTATGTGCGCCTGCTATAAAACAAATGAATGAATCACTGGAATGACTATGTAAAGAAAAAAAAATTAGAAAGAATTCACGCGTTGGAAAATGAAAGAAACAGTAAAAGCGGCTAAACCGGTGGATGAACGAAGACACTTTATAAATAGTGACCGTAAACATACATAGCAGAAAAGAAATGAAGGCTGAAAGCATTGAAATGCAAAACTTGTAAACGGGTTGAACCGGGTTGAACCCGCGGGTTCTCGGAAAAATATAACCCGGTTCGTGAAACCCGTAAAACGAGAAAACAACTACCCGTAAACCCGTAACCCGTCAGAGGTCTGACCCGGCCCGTAACCCGCGGGCGGGTCCACGGGTCGGGCGGGTTGAACGAAAACGGGTCAACCCGCCAACATCTCTGGTTAGAATCAAATAAAAATTTTCATTTCGGTAATTATTCTATCAATAGCAATAATCAATTATTTCACAAAGTTATTATTAGTGATTAATGTGCATAGTTACTCGTTCAATGGTTCGCTTTATGATAATCTCAAATGCATCTTTCTAACGTTTTGAAGGTAAAACATATGCGATAAATGTTATCATTGATGGAAGAAATAATATTAAATAATCATGAATTACGTGGTGATTTCATATAAACTTTAATAAATGATATATGATTAAGCGTGGTGACACTACAAATACCAAGACACATGATGCAATCAGATGATATTTATTTTGTTTCAATGGTAATTGTAAATGTTTTTGGAATGATACTTTTAGTTGTAGGATTAAATAAGAACGAAATATTAAGATGATAATAAACAAAATAGAAATTAAATTAATTGTAAATGGAATAGGAAAATGAACGAGAGTGATAGATCTATGAAAGGCGTTGATTGAAGAAGAATATTGAACTGACGCATCAAGTTCGTTGTTCATCATTGTCAATATCATCAATCAAGTGGCGATGTAGAGGAATATGAAGATGCGTTATAACTGTCAAAAGAATGATATTTAAAGTTATATGAACACATTGGAAAACAGCAAAATATTCGTTCAATAGAAGCATCCATAAAATTAATCATTTGAAACTAATAGAACTTGAAGAATCATATCTAATAATATACAATTTAACGTAAGCAATGATCGATTGGTAAGAATAGTCATTTCAAGTAAAACTAATTGTCAAAACGTGATGGTCAATGCATTTACTATGAATATAGAAATCCACAATTTATATCTCTTGTTTTTTTAAATAATTTCTTTATCATTTATTTTATCAATATAAAGATTTCATTCATATTTATTGTTTGTTATAAAGAGCAATGAAAAATAAAGGAGAACACCCTTAGTAAAAAATGCTAAAATTATTCAAAGGGAGTTCAAGTAGAAAAAAGAAAATGTTTTCAATATGAAACAAAGTAAATAAAAATAACTAATAGATTTCCAAAGACAAGTTCCACAGGAAACTACAATCCTTGTTTTTTAGCATCCACAGCTCACAAATAAAGTATTATTTCAACAATGTAGGATCGAAGGGTAAGCAGTTATTTACTAAACAAAACGTTTCCAAGTACTCCAGGACGTTTTACGATCAAGGTCCTTAAAATTTAAAGAACACCCAAGCATACCCCTTTTTTGTGATTTTTGAGGACAAATGACTTCTAGTGTTCCGTAAACTTTAAGGAGTTCAGCCTTAAAACGTTCTAGAGAGCTGATAGACATTTCATTCTGTAGAGAAATGCTTGTCCTTTGATTCTGTGTTATTTAAACAATGCTTTATTTGCGAGTTGTGGATGCTGAATAACAAGGCTTTTGGTTCTCTAGAGAAATGCATCATTAGAAATCTAGTAGTAATTTTAGTTTAAGTAATTTCTTGCTCTAAACAAGTTTTACTACTAAAACTTCACTTTGGATAATGTTTTAGCGTTTATTACGACAGAATAAAATTATACACGAACCTTATTGACCAATTCTATGAGTTTCAGTATGTGTCCTACTCATATATTGTAATCAGAGACAAGTTTTTTCCTTCCATAATAATATTTACAGTACAAAGTATTGAGAAAATATCACCTATATTGTGTTTGCTAAGAATATGCATGAAAATTATTTCATAAAATTATAATTATCCAGAAGAATCAATTTAGTGGTCGGATCCATTGGAACCTGATGGAAGCTGATTAGATTCCAGTTGGAGCCTATTAGATTTTATCAGAATCTTGTAAAAAATATTGTTAGAACCTGAAACACAGAATGATATTTGAATCCTTAGTATTGTAAAACGATAAGATTCCACGGTTAGATTTGACAGGACACTTTGAAATCGGATTCCGATGAAGTTCTTATAGGATTCAATCGGATATTATTAGTTTGATAGGATACACTGAAATGCTAGAAGATTCGATAAAATTTGACAGTGGTACTTTTCGACCTCAATAGGATACGAAATCACTAACCAAACCATGAAAACTAAGATGATGCCACCGATTACCTTGCTAAAGTTGATTGCCTTAAAGTCGCATATTCTCAAGAATCACTGTTAGCTTTTGATGATTGACCACCTCTTATCGACCAAATGATCCGTACCTTACACCGTTCAATATGATTGAAATTAGATTCAAAAAACCATCTAACGCAATGCCAAACAATCGAACAGCGTTGTAGCTTTTTCTAATGGGAGCTCTTTATACACTAAAACAATACGACTCAAGAAAGTCAACTTGAAAATTACAAAATAAAAAAACAAATTCAAACTGGAATTCACCGATTCTGAAAACCTTTAGCAAATAATTCCCAGGTGCAACGTAAAAAGCGAAAAATTCTGTCAACATTCAATCATCGTCGGCAGCTGCATCTCTTAGTAACTAGTGCGATAAAGCATCAGCAAAATGCAATATTCAGTAACAAAAAAATTTTGTTCATAAATACACTATAAACCACAGTAGGAGACGTACAGCTCACGTTGATACTTACGAGCGTGACCGATTTCCTCTGTCTTGAATAAGAGAGACAACTGACTATTACTCGTTTCAAGACTTTCAGGATAGAAGCATCATCTTGTTTTCACTTTGAAATAATTCATGAATTGATCATCTTTGCATGTTTTTAGCTACGGAGAATCATTAGAAAATCCAGTTCGGGTCTTGTCTGAACACGACCCATCTCAAAACAATTTCTGTTTGATTAGAAGAAGAAAAAATGAGCTAAAGCATCATTTAATATGTTCAATTTGAAATAACTCCGGTAGAGATCATCACAACATACTTTTTAGCTCGGTGAAATCATCAGAAAACTTGATTTTGAGCTTATCTTGACACCAACAGTATTTAAATAATTTCTGTATCAATGAAAAATGAGAAGCGAACTAAAGCCTCTATTTATGCTCACTTTCGAAAAAACTTACGAAAGCAGTCTCGGAAGTATCTATTTATTGATAATGAATGTAATATAAAAGAACAATCATCGTTTATTTTCCTTAAAAATGCCAGCAATAAAAAATAAATAAAGTATCTAAAATACGACTCTTTCAATAGTTCCAATACAATCATCATCTTTAGAGAAATAAACTTATTGATCAAAACCTATTTTAAATTTGATAGAGGTCACTGGGAATCGAACATTATCTTTTATATCAAACAAAAACAAAGTAGGAAACTTTATCGAAAGCGGAAAAATTCAATGATGCTTGAAAATTCAAATTTATTTAATTTTTTTTTCAATCAATCTATTTATCAACAGTAAAAAATGAATTGATCAGTCCCTTACGTAGCAAATGTTATTTTTTAAATTTTCATGGCTGTTTTTTTCTTCGTCACATTAAAATTTTCTATGATTTTTCGATGCCTTCAATGCTCTTTATAGAAGTTATATAAAAATTTTCGTCGTTTTGTTTTAGAAAGTTTTTGTTCATAATAATCATTCCATTCTTCTTTTTGCATTTCTAGACCTTTTATCTAGTTTTCCAGTCGATAAGAGATGGTCATACCAAGCAATCAATTACCAGTACCAGGATCAACGGGAATACCAGCTAAATGGGATTCTCGGTACGCTGGCCATGTTCCACATGACACATCATATTATTCAAAATGTGTTCTTGGTGGCATTCTGGCTTGTGGTCTTACACATACAGCTATTTGTCCACTCGATGTTACAAAATGTAATATGCAAGTATGTGGTTTAAAAAATAATAATTTTTCATGTAGAACCATGATAGTATAATAAATGAAATACTTTTCTTAATATATTTCGGAAAAATCTCACAATGAATAGTTGTTTTTCTAATGTTTTTAACTTTTGTCCTTGAAGGTAAAAAGCATAAAAAAATAAAACACTCCACCTTTTTTTTCTGTTCTGTGGATATTATATAGTGTGCTTGGTTTTTTTCTTTTTTCATCGTAAATATTTCGAGGGCAGAAACAGTTAGACGACAATCTATTTCATAGGCTATGAACGTGTACAAATTTATGTTATAAATCTATCTATCAGTTTTTTATTCATATCTAACAATACATACAAAATTTTGCTTATTTTTTTCTACAGGTTAATCCTGATAAATATAAAGGTTTAGTCAAAGGTCTTCGATTAATTGTCGCTGAAGAAGGCAGTCGAGCCATATGGAAAGGTTGGCTACCAACATTTTTTGGCTATTCAGCGCAAGGAGCATTCAAATATGGTCTTTATGAAGTCTTTAAAGATCAGTATGCGAATATGCTTGGTAAAGACAATTTTGAAAGATATAAAGGCCTTGTTTGGTGTGCAGCATCAGCATCAGCTGAGTTTTTTGCTGATATGGCATTATGTCCACTTGAAATGGTTAAAGTCAAAGTTCAAACAGCACCAAAAGGTACATTTCCAATAGCTTTTGGTCAAGCTTGGTCACAAATGAATGCTCATCGAGCAGAAACGGGCTTTCCATACCGATCACTTATACCATTATGGTCACGACAAATTCCTTATACAGTAGCAAAATTTTTCTTCTTCGAAAAAGTTAGTTTTCAAATAAGAATAATTAAATTTTCATGAAAATATATTTCAGGTCGTACAATTATTTTATACATATGTATTTACACAACCAAAAGATACATACTCAAAAACAACACAACTCGGTGTTACATTTGCTTCTGGTTATACAGCCGGTGTTATTTGTGCTATTGTTTCACATCCTGCTGATTCACTTGTTTCTCTTCTTGGTAAACCAGCTAATAAGGGCAAGAGTTTAGGACAAATTATTAATGAAACTGGATTTGCTAAACTTGCTACTAAGGTTTGCATTTTTTTCTTCGTATTGAATAAACAATTGATTATAATTTCGTTTGAATAAATTTTTTAGGGTCTTGGTACTCGTATTCTTATGATTGGTACATTGACTGGTCTTCAATGGTGGATTTACGACACATTCAAAACAGCCTTGGGTATGGGAACAACTGGCGGTAAATAATTCAATCAACAGTTTTATCCAATCAAATTTCTTATATAATGAATCGAAAATGATAATCTAAATATTGTTTTTCTGATTGAATTTCTTTTTTTGTGAGCATTTGCATTCCTTATTAAGTGAATTAGGTGTGATTGAATCTCCGTTTCGTTTTTCCTGTTGTTGAAAGAGTGAAAAAATTTTATAAAGAATTTAATCTAATAGAAAATTAATAAAAGAATAAATTTATCAAATAAATACTGTGATGGTCAAAGCAAACATGTGGATATGCGGTCATTTTTTTTTGCAGTAATGTACATGATATCTGTAGAAACCCAATTCTTTATTAAAAATTAAGATAATCAATAAGTAAATATATCATAGAACGAAAATATTTATTTCGAAATTATATTCAATCAATTTCATTTCTTAATGATTTGAATTCGGACTATGCGAATTTTTTGTCGAAGAATTTGAAACTACTAATATGAAGGGACCAAATTAAAGAAGAGAGATTTCTTATGAATGTATAGAAAGATACATGCAATGAATATGTATTGTAGATTGTTTCAAAAAGACTACCTCATTCTGCAGCTATATTGAATAATGTATTTCAACATAGACTTTGAAATAAACATTATTTTAGAATTTTTAGAATTTAAATTTTATTTTTTTTTTTTGAAAAATAACCTCCGACTCAAAGGTTAATGTGGTGGTATCTGCTAAATTATTGCATAGTTAGTTACTTTCGTACGAATATATCAACGGATTCTTGTCTATTCATTCGTACCAGAGATGAGCACAGGACAGGACGATATTTTTATTTTTGTCCTGTCCTGCCTTCCGCCAGGACAGAACAGGACAGGTAAAAAATCCTTGTCCTGTGCTCATCTCTAATATTTTTTTTTCGTGAAAACTATATAAAATGCATTAGTTAGAAAATATTAATTGGTGATGTTTGCTTTGTACAATGAACATAGAAGTAAAACTCACTCTTGGCATTTTACAACCTGTGAAAACGGATTTAATTGGTAGAAAAACGGCATAAATCGTGACGTCTTGTCCTGCCGCCCGCCAGGACAAAAACAGGACAGGACAAGATTTTGATTTTTGTCCTGTGCTCATCTCTGATTCGTACCTCTTATTGTCTTTTCTATTTCTAGCATTATTGATCCTTCTACGTAGTTAGTTGTATCATAACTGCTTCCCAATGAGTTCTATGTTCAACTTATTTTGAACGATAAGTATCCTTTCTATTAATAATGGCGAAACACTTTTTCTTTTATCAAATAATATAAAACTCAATCATTAGCATTCATTAACGTTTAATCAATATGAAATAAAATCAATTACTAACGAATCTTATTGATATTTTTGAGCAGCCGAGAAAAAAGTTTACTTATTATTAATGCTATTGCTTTATTTCTTCATTATTATCATCTGTAACATTTTTAGAAATAGATAGACCAACAGATTGAGAACAATTTTGGTAATCATGTCCCATTTTAGGTTATTAAGTGTTCCTCATGACTTTTCAATAATTCATGTAATGAAACTCTATCTTTACATTTATTTGTGCTTAAAAAAGTTTTACTATATTACGCATCTGATTTATTTTCTGATGCACATTGATATTAAACAGTTAACATGATTAATATTCTTTTGTTCTGACTATTCTCAGAGATATTTGAAATAAACCAGATAACTTCATTTATTGTTGGTATTAAAATGCGGACACATATAAAAGTTTGATTTCATTTTAATTAGAATACGTTGAGAAAATAATTTCAAAATAAATCTCGTTTAATCGAATTGAATAATCCATCAATATGAATATTGAAAATCAAACTTTAATTGATATAAAAATATCAGAATTAATATTAGATCGACCACTTGTTATTATTAATTCCATAGGAATTATTATTGGAACAATTTTTAGTATTTTATGTATAATAAGATATCTAAAAAATTCTGATTTACGAACTCATTACACATACATAGTAAGTAAAAATACAATGAAAAATTATTCTTAATAATTGAATATAGTTTTATTTTATGTTAATCTATTGTCTACTTTCATCAGTGATTCGATCACCTACTTTTTTAATCGGTCATTATTTAAATCTTTTTAAATATTCTATTTCTCTTTGTAATATATCAACTATTCATTATTTAACAGTAAATATTGGTATGGTTACATCATTAGCATATGCAAGTATTGAAAGACATTTTTTAATATTTCATAAAAATGGTTTATTAACATGGCGACGTCAATTATTACCAGTTACATTCATTTTAGTTTATTCGTATATCATAGGAATACTTTTTACATTAATACCAACATGTACAAATATACTATGTATTGGTTGTTATGCAACAAGACTTCGTTATATGATTCCATGGATTATCATAAGTTTTTTTCTACCACAATTAGTAATGATTATTTCAACAATTTATTTATTATTTCGTTTACATCAACAAAGAACAATGTTTAATCGAAGACCAGAATGGTCTGCTTTAAAAAAGATTGCTATACAAATGAGTATTTATGTTATATGGTCATGTCTTTGTTATTGTCCAATATCATTTTATAGTTTAAGTATAATTATTGATACGTCTCGTTTTTCACCAGATCTTAAAACAGCGATGGATATTATTAATACAACTATTTTAGAAACATATCCAATATTAACTTTTATTTCAATGTTGTTATTTACACGACGTAGACAGGTACAACAGAAAAGGCAATCAAGTTTAAAATTAAATAATATAGCAACAATAATAACACCTCCAAGTGACCGACAATCGTAGATCTTGATAAAATAGAAAAATATTTATTTGAAATTGAGTTGTATTGATTAGCAAAGGAAATATATGGCTCTTTGTATTTATCTATTAAAAAATCTATTGAATGGTTTATATAATCAACTATGCTTTGAAATTAATTGAAATGTTAAAAATTTTCTTAAAAACATTTGTTATTGACAAAAAACAGGACGAAATGCCCAAAACATCAAGAGAAAATAAATGGTCACGAACTTATCTATACACGTAACTTATCCAAATCTTCTGTTTAACATAATTCATCTATTCAAGCAACATTAAATGCGAGTCAATGATAGTTATATATATGAGCTGTCTATCTATTGGTATTACGACTCATGATATATGTATGATGTTCTTTTTCTGTAAAGGACTTTTTTCTTTAATATATGAATGTATTATGTGGAATTAATGGCAGTGGACTTTTGAAATTGCCTATCAGACATATGGATGAGAAAAATGATCTGCCGAAGATAATATTAGTCATGAAGCGAATACATATTCTGAACAGTAGAATATAGTATAGTACTGATGCTAATATGTTTCCTATGTAAACTTCGATTGTTTTATACATAAATCGAAGATGATATATTTATTCCTGCGAAATCATCAATCATTGAAATAGACATTAGAGCATCAATAGTCGAAGACTAAATATGGAACGCTACGTTGATCAATATTCCGTTATAAAATGAAAGAAGTAAATTAGACATGTACATTATTTTCCTAAAGTTTTCAGTTGAATATTTTTAAATATCAAAATCTAAATAATATTTTCTAACTGAAATGATACCCATAGGTAGTATTGAGTGTTTGAATTAATTTAATTAATCATTCATGTGATGAACTTTAAAACTTTAAAAAAAATAAAGATAGTGCCCCCACCAGGATTTGAACCTGGGGCCTTCGCTTTACAAGAGCGACGCTCTAGGCCACTGAGCTATGAGGGCTTAATGAACATAGCGCCACACCCGATGCAATTGTGAACGTTCATATATGAACGAAATACTAGCTTATTTTATTGAACACCCGCCCACGATTTTTCAAAGCACGACATCTACAATGAGTAACTTTTATCTACTATAAATAGGTAATCCCAATTTCCATGTATCTTACAAATATCATCTATTCAACTGTTTAGTTTAACAAGTTAGCAATAAACAAAAAAATTCTTTCTTAGGACAAAATTTTAAATTTACGAATACAACTGAATTTTTGTCTTGTGACTGGCATGTACTTGCTTGCTTTTCATTTTTCAAGTTTTATTTTCAATTGTTCATCTTTTTCTACTTTAACTTATCGTGGAGTAGAAAAACTTTGAAACTGAATGCTCCTGTATTGACCATGTTATTTCTAGGTTATAAAAATATTGACTTCAAATAAAGAAAAAGGACGTTAAACTCATCAATTGCTTTAAAGAAGACATAAATATTATTATATTATATGCGTAGCAATGAGTTTCTACTTGGGAAGTTTTGAAACCATATTATTTTGATCTTAGTATTATCTTATGGTTGGAACACGATCGCCTAAAATAGATATTACTACGATTAGAAATTGTAAAAACTATTGAAATTTCATATCTTATATCTATTTTGGACTGTATTGACGAATTTTTTCTCAAAAATCCTAGGTTATTAAATGACATATTGAACGTGTCAATTAGTCATTAGTTGAATTCTGTAATTTGGGCTACTGGTTTTTCTTTGTTTAGATCAAAAATTTAAATGGATCGGCTTGATACGGTTGAAAGAAATTCAACGGATATCAACTTTACAGCACGATGTATTGCAGACTTTGGAGGAGAATGAGATTTTTATTCAAACCAGTTGTAATTCTTTTTCATATTCTCCTATATTGTAATATCCTTGATCGTTACTCGTACAAAGTATTTGTTGGAACTAGAAATTCCATAATATGAATGCCGATTTCGTCAATATTAAATGTAGGATCATTTAATGGTTTTGCTGCTGAATTTGATTACACACACAATCGAGAAACAATTAGAAGCTTAAAAAAAAGAAACTTCACATGGTATTGCGAATATTTCCATGAAGATAAACTTTTATTGCAGTACAAAGTCATATATACTATGAAAGCGTGCGTTTGATTGTACTACATCACAGTGGGCAACTTCCGCATATGAGGCGGACATGGAATTTTCATACTCGGCAATGGGTTTTTATTGCTCAGAAATGATTATATATCACTTAGAAAATCACATTTAACAAAATAAAGCATTTCTTAAAAAAAAGTTTTTTTCGAATAAATATCCTCCGAGGACCCTTGCCATGTTTTTCGAAAAAACTTTTTTGTCATGACACATAATGTTCTGCACGTCATTCGACGTAGTTTCACGCGCTGATTACGAATATCGACTTGGTTTTTCGCTAGGAAGTTATCTTGCGGAAAAATAGCATTTAGAGTCGAGAACCAGGGTTTTTTGGAAAATCCGTAACTTGATCGACGTTCACTATTGCTTTTTGACAGTATAGACAAGGAGAGATTCTACATGGAGGAATATTCACTCAAGGTTGAGCTAAATTAGATTGAAGCTGTTTGTAACGTTTACAAAATCGAGAAAGCCAATTTGTAGGAACATTTTTAGCATAATAGTCAAAAACTTTTTTCAAAAGAACGCTTTTTATTACATATGGTTCGATGCAGCTCGATGAGCTGATTCAGAATATTACCTTGGCTTTGCACCAAAATGGTGTCTTCTTTACAAAAATATGGATTTGGTGGCAAAAACCTTGGTTTTCGGGAGACCCGTAGCACCAGCTGTGATTATGAATGCGAAGTGATGCTATGGTCACCGATGCACCACATATGGGAGAATAACTACCGAAAGTTTGAGATCAATCGCATTTAATATCTTTGTAGCGTTTAAAAAACATGGAAAGGGTGATTTTCAAAACCTTGTCGCTGCCTAAGCACCAACTTTTTTTTTCAGAAACAATTACTGTTATATATGATTCGATGTAGTTTGACGAGTTGAATTCGAATATTATCTCAGTTTTTCATCAAAATGTTCTCAAATTCTCAAAACTAGGGATTTCGGAGCTGAAGCCTGATTTTTCACGATACCTCTCGTTCGACTTGTGTTCACAGATGCAAGACGGTGCTACGACCAACGATAAATCATACATGGGAGAATAATTGGTGAAAAATTCAGCTCAATCGGATTAAAATTCTTTCTAGCGTGCACAAAATACGATATGACTGATTTAGCGACCTATTTTCGACCCAGTAATCACTTATTTTCTATTCCATTTATGGTTCAAACAAAATAATTTTTTCGCACAATATAATTTATGGGTCAATCATTCGTTTCAGATAGTTTTTATTTAAAAATATTTTGATTAGTTGATGCAAGGAATGGTCTCCGTATACTTTACGGATTTTTTAATCATTTTTTGATGATGAGCTTTCCCACGTTTCGAATTGATTTCTGGGAATCTAATTTTAGCGTAAAATAAAGTAACCATAGATGTATTCATTCCAGTATTTAAACTTTGGAAAATAGAACTTGAGGTCATGTCTGCCTGGTTCCCCACTGGGTACATGAGAGGAGAAAAACAATAAATTCTTTCGACTATCACTATAAGTATGGTTGCAATATACGAGAATCATTCAAAACTCAAAAAAAAATGCCTGAAACACAAGTGTTTTGCTTCTATGTTGAAAAACTTCTGAAACACGAGAGTTTTCCTAAAGATGTTAAACATATATTCGATTATAAGAAGAAAAAAGCTTGTTTGTGAGACATGAAATATGACTGAGACTCAAAATTTGATAAATCTAGACTACATGAATCTAATACTGTGTTTTATGCTATATATTCATAATGTAATGTTATTTGCACCACATGACTACCATAATGAGTTCTTTATTCCCTCGACTGAAAGGAGGGTCATATGAAAGAAAATAGTTTGTCTGTCTGTGTCAGGGTCAAAAAAACATCAAAGATTAAAAATCCAAGTTTGACCAAAGGTTTTCGGGGTCGAGAAATTCATTGTCATCATTAGTTTTTCGAAATTTTTGTTTAGATGACTTTTTTTTGCTAAAAAAGGCCTTTTTTGAGAAAAAAAATGATTTTTTTATAAAGTTTGACCAAAGGTTTTCAGGGTCGAGGAATCGATTGGCATCATTAGTATTTCGAAATTTTTTTCAGATGACTTTTTTTTGCTAAAAAAGGCTTTTTTGAGAAAAAAAATGATTTTTTATAAAGTTTGACCAAAGGTTTTTGGGGTCGAGGAATCGATTGGCATCTACTTGCATGTACTGTTTTCAATATCCAGCCCACATCCAATCAGCTATTCTTGCCGTCCTGCTTTTATACTTGGTGTTGTCAGCTACTAGCTGTGAGTGGCGTTCCATTGAATGGCCAACAAACGGCTAATCAGTGGTTCGCGAGTTTCAAGGATGGTTGTTCCAGAGGAGATTCGTAGGAAATCGCGCATGTATTTCGAGAAAAGTTGATTAAGGTTTCATCATTCGGGAAATTCTATATAAAGCGGGTTTTTAGAAAGATCGCGAAATTGAAGTTCTAACGAATAGTTCACAACAAACCCTGATCATCGGTACCCTTCGTGATAATTATTTTCCTATGATTAGGAGTCATTCTATTAAAAGTTCGCTATTTCTGCAGATCGGAAACCTATTCGGTTCAATCGTAACACAACTAGACGGTTAGTTGGAAAACAAGATAGGATTTGGGAGCCGGTTAGTCGCTCGTCAGCGCCCCTCCGGGGCGCAACTCGCGACCGGCCGTCTATTTATGAAGCTGATATGAGCCCTGCTTGCGTAAAGGTTTTAACAAATATGGAATATTTTTCGAAAGAGCCAAGGCAATTGTCGCCCAGGCTAGGGGTGTCTTGTTCCGATTACCGTTACCGGTAAGTGCTAACTGATGCCACTTTCAATTTATCAGGCAAGTAATAAGTAGTATTTTAACGAAGCACATAAGCTGAGGATGTATTTTTCACAATAAATGCTCAATCTGTAATACTAAAACATTTAGACTAAGTTTTATAATCAAAACTGCATCTTTGGTATTATATTTTTCGAGCATGAGGTGTGTACTGTATGATTGTGTATCAAACTCGTATTCGATCAATACATTAATCAAAATAATATTGCAAGAAAATTTGTATAGCCGAATGTTGGAAATAACAAAAACAATCATTCTGTATGTGTTATATATGATTTCGTGTTGTTGTCGAACTGTTTTCTTTCTTCACTAGGCATAGAAATATTTTGGTGAAAGCAACAAGAGGATAAATTCTTTTTTTTTGAGATAGTAATAGCTCTGTAGACATAAAAAGTAAATTTTATACATATTTAATTTTTTAGTTTCATCGATCAATATTAGTTTTATTATTAATAATTGTCGTAAAAAAAATATAGAAAAGAAATGAATATGAATCATATATTTAAAGAAACGAAGTAATTATTCTTCGTCTACGTTTGTTATTATTCTTGACTGCAATGCAATGGATAAATTTTCTCAAGTTACGCCATCTTTGAACGCCCTTTATTATTTTAAGTAGTGGAATTTCTCTATTGGCCAACGTCTACTATCCCTATATTTGACTGTATCTTATCTGAGTGAGTCATTAGAAAAGAAAAATATTACTATCTCAAGTGATGAAAACATCAAATAACTAAATAAAGATCATGAAAGAGAAAAAAATGCCGAAAAGTAAACACTTAATGACTCACGATTTGGATATCATTTTTATCATAGATCAAAAGGTTTGATGAAAGGAAATATAGACTAAACAGAGGATAACCAGATATCAATTTTAGTCATGTTGGACTATAAATAGCGAAGCAGTTGATGTATTCACTCATTCGACGTATTCACTCGCTACTATCAACATCAACAGCCTTACTTCTACGATACAATTATCTACGATACGTCTTGCCATTTGATTTTTTTTTTATCTCTTCTATTGGATTAATAACACAAAATGCGCCTTATGATTTATCATTGCTGTTTTGCCATTAAGTATTTTGCAAGTTATCGACAAAATTCTTGCACATTCGATGATCAAATTGTAAAATCATAACTGACAGTATTTATAACTGATCCGTTGTGGAATCTGACCCTTTTTAGGGATTTTCATGAATAAAAATAAAAATACATAGTTAGTTTCATTTGTCAGCACTTTTGATCATGTTGAGAATGAGTATTTTAAAATATCAATACATATTCGATTAAAAATTTGGCATCATTAATCGATCGATCCATTGGTTTAAAAGATAATTAGTTTTGTTGTATACAAAAAAAATCGAGTTGTTTTTTTCTGTCTGTATGAAATATTATTATAGAGTCTGGTGACCTAATTCTGCCGGTAAAAAAAATACTTTTTGTATTTCTTTTATAACTCGAGTTATACATATTGTAGAAAAGTCATTTTTTCTTTCCGGGATAGAGCCAACATTTGTCTATCGAATGATATAAGATTGTTAACGAAATAATAAACGAATCACTCTAGAGAAGGGTGACAATAGAGAGGGGGTCANTTCTAATAAATCATAGTTTGTACTATTCATAAAAGTGACTTTCTACAATAATGCCAAGTTTCAATTTCATATGAAATTTTTACAAACTTTTCTCCTGAATCTACATATATAATATATACGTAATAAAATTTCTCAATACTTTTTTTCAAATATTTAATAATGTTATTTTTTATGAATTATGAATTATAAAAACTATGTTCTTTTACCTCCATTAATTGAATAAAACTATGTTCATTAGCCGTTGTTTCAATATCTCCATTAAACGTCGTTAAAACGTTTCCTTTAAAGAAATATCGCCAATTATTAATTAATAAATTATGAACAAGTTTATAATAATTTTCTCGAATATCTAAAGCAAAATTCTTAAAAAACAAAGAAAATTAGAAAGAAAACAAAAGAGAAAAAAAATACTTCTCGAATAGCTGGATATAAAGCTGTTGTACATAATTCTATAATTGTTGGTAAAAATTGTTGTGCTAATTTACTATTTCCTGGTTCATTAACAAGTAAGGATAGAAATTCAAGAAATCTAAATACAATGATATTATTCTTAATAAGAAAAAGCATTTATTTCAAAATTTGATTTACCTCGAAACAGCTGTATGAGCAGTTGGTTTTGGTTCACGAAGAACATTTCGAATATTTTCACTAAATCAAAATCAAATTTTAAGTAAAAAATAATTTTTTCAAAGAAAATTAATACAAACATATTAAATACAGAAAATGTTGTTTGTAAAATACTATTTATTAATTCTGTACCCATTTGTGTTCGAAGTATCTCGAAACAAGTTAATAATAATGAAATAAGTACTGTTTCACATTCTAGAAAGAAAAATTTACATAGTATAATTCTCTCACTGTATGACCACCAGTGACCGAAGCGAACCACGTTTTACTGATTCATGTTCGGTTCGCTTACGGTCTGTGAAGACCACTCATTTCTCTCTTAAGAATTGATCTTGGGTCAACTATCTTCAAATTGCATGAAATTTTCAGGATATATTGAGATTATGCTTAAATTTTCAGTCCTCTACCATAACGTTTTCGGAAGAAATTTAGCAAACAAGGATAAGAAATAGCTTCCTTGACAACTCATAATTCTCTGCAAGACTTCATTCTATATATTTAATTTTTTATTTGAAAGCGCATGTCAGTCTTCAGTAAAGTCTCTCTTTTTTTTAAATTCTTACTTTTTATGCAGAGAAAAAGGATGATAAGTTCAATACCCGGAAAAAGTCTCAAGAGAAAGGTCATCTATTTAGAGAAAAGCTTTTTTTAATAAAAATAAATAATTGATTACAACGAAGTTCCTTGGAGAATTCTATCATGCATTTATTTTAATTACGATAATTTTGACGGACATGGGTTTTTTGCGAGGTCTTGGAAAAAAGAACAAAAAAAAAATTCAAACCTGTATCTCGATTAACAATTATTGGTAAAAAACGATTTAAATTTATAATTAAATATTGTATTGATGAAAAAAGATTTTGACGCATTTTATTATTTTCTGTACGAATCGATTCAATTAATTCTGTAAGTAATATTGTATATTCAAGAAATGAACGACGTATTAAACATTGATCTTGTTGATGATTAAAAAAATTTACTGTTTCATTTAAAATTGTATTTAATGGTTGAAAAATTGTACGGAAACAATGTTCAGCAGATTGTTGTTCAGTTAAGATTATTAATAATATTGTTTTTATTGCTAATTTATACAGCTAAAAAAAAGAAACGAACAATCATCTTCATGAATTCTTATATGAATAGAAAATACTTACTTGAAAATTAGTCTTTGAATCAGATATGCCATTCCATGTAAGAATACGATTGATTAAATGTTTTATAGAATTCATTTCATTAAAAGCTACATGTTGACGAGTAAGAGGAATAATAGAATAAAGAAAAGAACCAGCTGATATAGCAATGGGTTTATCAGAGTTCTAAAAAAACAAGATGAATTCAACATTCTTTTGATGAAATTTTATTCGTTTTGTGTATATACATTTCTATCGATAAGAGGTGCACAATTATCAATGACATGTGTTATCAATTCTTGAAGCATTCGACGATTATCTTGATTTGAATTATATAGAATCAACATTTGATTAAACCATTGACTTAAATTAGTTATACATTCAAAAGATCGTGTTTGACTAAAAAGAAAGAAAACAAATTTATTATAGTTTATAGTCATTTGTATGTAAAAATTATAGAATTAAAAAATAGATCTTTCGGTTGCTGAAGTTCCACTCGCCTCAGAACGATAGGATCAAATCAATTAATCAGTGAACAAAATATCTGACCCGATTCGTGATAAATGCATTAATCTTCGAGAGAATTCATTATTTCTACGATATTCAAAAAAAAATGCTAACGAGAAAAGTTTTCCAACCGATTAAACATTTTTGATTGAAGGTTATGTGCATCATATAGACTCTAACGAGTTATGAATAATTCTAAAAGAGCTCAGACTTGTAGCTTATTACTGAGGAGATACTGTCTTTTTTTCGTGGTGTTGTTAAGTAAACATTGTTAGTTCGTTTCAGAAGCACGACAGGAGAACTGATTTGCGAATTTCGACTTAAAACTTCACACAGATATAGGTAAGGACGATAGTTTACAAAAAACATTTCAGACCTTTTGATTTTCTTTTTTTTTTCTGAAATAAAAACATCAACTATGCCGATGTATATGAACGATTTAAAAGACATGTTTTTACCATCACTGAATCGTAGGATAAGTGCAACTAAATGATCTCACACTTGCATAGTAAACTATACTCGTTCATAGGTGTCTCTATGGAAAGTTTCAAATCTAAATTTTCCTGATGAAGCCACGGGATTGTATTAAAAAATACCGAAAAAACGAAGGATCTCTGAAATAATAAATCAAAGACTTGAATTTTTTTTTCAAAGTATTCGTAGCTCTTCAAGATCTATATGATACACATAATCTTTAATCAAAAGCAATTATTCTGTTGGAGAACTTCTCTAGTAGGTTAGAAAGTTTTTAATCTAACACTTGTATTGCCTCTCTTTCCATTCATGAATTCTAATTATTATGTAAAAAGTATACTTACACATTAATAAATTCAGTACTTAATTGTTTCGATGAACAATGGATTAAATCGAATCGAGCATGAATTATAAAAATAATGAATTCAACAAAACTTGAAAAGAATTTTAATTATTATCTGAATATGAGTTACTTTAAAACTTTTTTCTTACTGATGTACAAGTGTTAGACTAGTTTGAAAATGATTTTCTTGTTGATTATTATTATCATCAAGTAGACAAGAATTTGCAATACGTGAAAATGCATAAAGTAAATAACTTAGACTATTTAATACTTGACTACAAACGCCAATAGAATCATTATTTATTACTAAATATTGTTGAGAAGAATCTAATTTAAAAGAAAATTAAATGAAAAATAATCATTTCCGTTTTCTCAGAATTACTTACTTGGTGAAATTTGAATTAATTTTTGAATACTTTTATATTTTTCAATATCTGGTTGTAAAAGACTTATCTAAATCAATAGAATAGAATAGAAAAATCGAAAGAATAATTGAATTATTTTCTCACAAGTAACTGTAAAATACTCGATGAAAGATTAGGAATGTCCGCTAATTTACTAAGTATATCAACAGATTCTCGTACATATCGATCAATTGCTGTATCAGACTACAATAAACAAATAATAAATTCAAATTCAAATTCAACTTAAACATATGTATACATCATTTAAATCAGTAGTTTCTTCTAAAGTTTTTATTATTGTTTGTCCATTATGAATTCTTTGTACTAATTCTTGACTTAATGAACGTAAAATTTGTGAATATCTAATTTTAAAATAATAAAGTGTTATTTTACTTAATTACTAAAGCAAAAAAAATAAAGAAAATAAAAATGCATTACTTTTCGAATGAATTTTCTTTATTCATTATTTGAATTTCATCTTTTGTTTTTATATATTCAATAAATATTGACCAAATATCCAAGCAAGCATAAAATCCATCTTGTGTTGTCTATTTTATAAAAAAAAAAAAAAGGTTTTCCTATGGAAAAAAAAACAAATTTATTCATTTTTACTTGTTGAAGTGTAAATTTATAAAAAGCAGTTAATAATTCAAACATTGGAAAATCTTCAATAGATTCGCATCGTTTTAAATGTAAATTAAATAATGAATGCAATATTTCAGTTATTTTATTTATAATTATTATGGTTAAATTTTGATTGACAATTAAAACTAATTGAATCACATGACGAAGTGATGAATGAAGAATTGAATCATATTGTCGTGGTAGATGTTGTTTAAGTATCAATTCATGAATACAATTAAGAGCATCTATTGACCATGTTGATGATGCATACTGAAATAGATCATCAATGAATTGTAATGATAATGGGAGAATCGAAAGACGATTAATAAGACGATCCAAACATATTAATATCTGTTTTTTTATTAACAATGGATCTAAATTATATTCAAAAAGAAAAATTTAAGATAAGAAATCTTGTCAGATTATTGCAAAAGATTTAAGAAATATTAAGAACGAAAAAAAAAGTGGATACTTTTATATAGATTAATGCATGCAGTGATACATAATCAGTTTAACTCTATAGAAAATTTCTATTTACATTCCTATAGCTACAAATATTTGAGTGTCAAATACGCTTAAAGCCTATATGTTCTGATAAAAATTTAAAAATCGTTTTCTTTCACAAGATATATCGTCTACTTATGTTCTTTGATAATCTTGAATGATGTCTGAAATTTTTTTCTTTACATTATAATTAAGTTAAGATTGTTAATTATCAATTCATTCAAGTTTTGCTTGTTTTCTATTTTGTTGATTCACATAGAAAAGAAAATCTAAAATTTACCTTTTAATTGATGATTTTCTTTATTTAATAAAACATGAATAATTTGAATAATATGTGGAACATGTTGATTGAGTATAGTTCTTAATTGATTACATCGTTTTATTGTACAATCTTCATTTAATTGACCGAGTTCTTCGATTGTTGTAGTTAAAAGTAATAAACCCAAGAATGGTTGTGTTTCAATTAACTAGAACAAAAAATTAAAAGAAAGAAAAAAAAACAATTATTTTTTGGCAGTATTAGAAACAAACACTGACCTTACGTGATAACAAGTTTGAAAATATTCATCTAATGACCATTGATTATCACAACGAAGCATTTGTACAATAAGTAAACATAATTTTGAACGAACATAAACAGGTGTAGAATCAAATAAATGAAGAAAAAGCCATAGAAGTATCTGACGAATTTGTTGTTGATCACCATAACGATGACGAATCGAATGTTCAAGTACTTGAAGTAAAAAATAAATCAAAAATGGCGAGAGTGCAACAGTTTGATTATTTTGTTGTTGTTGTTGAAATGTTGCTAATGCTATCTGCCATGAATTTCGATCGATTAAAAATCTATTTAATTGTTCATGTAAATGTTGTTTATGAACAAGATCCGTACGTGGATCATGATATTCTGCTAAAGCTTTTGCTAAATCTTCCATTAAATCTATAAATTCAAATAAAATAAGTGATAGTTTTCTTTCATATTTCATGTTTATTTATAGAAGAAGCAAATAATATATAATATACATTTACGATTATCTCCTGGCTTTTTTTTTCTTTACTATCTATATGTATAAGTCATAAGGAGATACAAATCGAGAATGTCTTTAAAATAATTTAAAGTTTTTATTTCAAATTAATTGCTGACAAAACAGAGTTATTGTCATTTTTTTCTTCTGTTGTCTCTTGAAGTGGTTGATTTTTTAGTTGAGGAGTTACAAATTCTTTGAGAAGATGTTGAACATTTGGATCATTCTTCAATGCACTTGTAAATACACAACCGACAAATACATGTGTTCCTAAAATGTAAAATAATATTGATTGTTGTTTTATTTTTTTGTTCTCGGTAGTAGAACAAGTTCGTATAAAATAATTTCTACTAACCGTGTTGTAAATGTTCAACAACACGACAACAACCTAAATCAACAATATTAATACCAAAATAACGAAAACGTTCATCAGTTTCAAATAATGTATCTGATGTATGCGGACCATAATAAGGGCGACCACTAGACGGATCAATAAAATCAGCCCAATATTGTTTTGCAGCTAAATAAGCACACATTTCATGTGCTAATTTAATAAATTGACCTGTTAATTCATTTCGTTCTTCTTCAACTTTAGGAGACCATGCTGTCATGTCAGAATTTGTTTTTAATATAATTGTTATAGCTGTTAATGGTTGTACTAAAACATTATAATTTAAAAATAAACGATGTAATTCATAGCGTAATAATGATGGACAATCATATGCACGAATTTCTAAATTATCATGATTAATTAAATTCGAAAGAAATTCTGTTTTATTTGTTGGTGATGATAAAATCATATGTGTACCCATTAATTGTGTTATTGAATCTTTTTGATGATCAAACGGTAAAGTCATTGTTAATATTTCATCTAAAATAAGTTTACCATCTATACCGTAACGATTTGGATCAAGTTTTGATTTTAATTGCGTAGAAATAGATTTTGTTTGTTTATCTGGTCCAATACGCCCAGGTAATGGAAAACGTAGATTAGGATCTCTTAGTGATAAGTATGTAGTATCAACAACTAATGGTGGGACAGATGAATTTTTTTGTGAAGTTAAATACGATCCATCTAATTGATCGACTAAATCTAATAAAGCACGAAGTGCTTTTTTGCGTCCAACAATACGTGCTTTTAAATCAAATGGCTTTGGTTTAAATGATGATAATCGTCGTATGGGAGAAAGTAAAAGCAATGCTTGAGGACGAACATGTGCTAGAAAACGATCCATCGTAATCTAAAACTAAGCGAGTTTATGCATTGATTCGTTGGTGCATTGGCTTTTTAACCAGGCTTGATCATGTGCTGAGTGTATGAGTCATGACGTTGTTTTTTTTTCTTTGCTAGCTACCATTACATTCGTTATTTACTCGTTCTTTTTCCTCCTCCTAGTGTCAATAGAATATATTCTGTTGTGGTCTATACTAGGAGTCGCAACATTCTTATGGCGTGGTTTTTTTTACTTTTTCTATCGATAGGATTAATAAAAGAAGGCAAATGTATAGTTGATGAAGATTTTCCTTTTCGAAATGTTTCACTTGATTGGTCGGTACGTGTTGATGATCTTGTATCACGTCTTACTCCACATGAAATTATTGATCAAATGGCATATGGAGGTGGTTGGAATGATGGTGTGACACCTCCTATACCACGTTTGCAAATACTTCCTTATTCTTGGGGTACTGAATGTTTACGTGGTGATATAAGTGAAAATTCAACTGGTTTTCCACAAGCAATTAATCTTGCATCAACGTGGAATAAACAATTAGTAAAAGCTGTTGCCAATGCAACAGCTTATGAAGTTCATGCACATTATAATGTTTATCGTAAAGAAGGTTTATATGGTGTACATCGTGGTTTGAGTTGTTTTTCACCAGTTATTAATATAATGCGACATCCATTATGGGGTCGAAATCAAGAAACTTATGGTGAATGTCCTTATCTATCGGGAATGTTTGCTATTTACTTTGTTCACGGTCTTCAAGGACCATTATCTTCACGTTATCTTAATACAAATGCAGGTTGTAAACATTTTGATGCACATAATGGACCAGAAAATATTCCTCAATCACGTTTTTCATTTAATGTACAAATGTCAGAATTTGATTGGCGTTCAACATTTCTTCCAGCATTTCATGCTTGTGTGTGACCAAGCTTTGCTCGTAATGGTTGATATATAGGGACTCGGCAGGCATAAAACACTAAGGAGNAAGGATGCATGTGAGTTCTACATTTCAGCTTCGAATGGGATGACTGACAAGGTTCTTTTTTAAGTATCAATTTGTGTTTCTTTCAACACCTTTTGAATGTGTCAGATTATGGTATGAACTAAATCTGAAAGAGCATGATTCTACATCAACACATCATTTCTGTAGTTTCAAGGCAGCGAACAATCATTATACTTGATATAGATAAGATTGAAATGCGTTCTTTATGTTTGTTAATGCATAAACGATGAAAATGCTAAAAATAGGCTTTGTAACATGTTATGCATGATGTTAATTGCACTCAGTACGTATATTGATAATTGCTTATGACACTCAACGGCTGATTGCGTAAATTTATTCAAATTTTTTTACGCAACTACGTAACTACGATTATTCAACTCGAAAAAACAGTACCGCTTCTCTCTTGTTTCACAGAGATACGCATGACAAGTGCGTAAAATGAAAGATAATAAATAATTTTAAAAAAATAACGCAGTTTTATTAAAGCTTTAGGCGTTTGCACGAGCATCACTATCACTTTGTTTGAATTGTGTATGCCATTTTCATGAGCAGTTTCTGTGTTTGCTTTTTAATTAGTTTCTCGATTTCTATTTTTCAAACAGTGTTCAGTACCAACAACAACTCAGATGCCGATTTCTGCTTCACTTCGTTTTTGGCTTTATTTTCCTTTTCTGGTACCATCAATAATTCTTTCTATCTTCATTCTCTATCAGCTTCTTTTTGATCGAGCTCTTCGTCGTAGTATCAATAATCATGTTATTGTTGTGATTCTCTTCATTGGTCTTTTCTATCAATTGACCGACGTGATTTGGCTTGCTTATTATTATCATAACCATATTGCTTTGATTTCGACACCTGGTTTTTGCCTCGTTTGGGTCTACATTGATGTTGCTGGATTTGTTACAATATTAATTCTCGTTGCTTGGGCATCAATCGAACGACATATTCTTATTTTTCATGACAAGTGGCTATTATCAAGTGGAAAGTGTATCTGTTTTCATTATATTCCTTTGATTATATTCACTCTATATCCTCTTGGATTTTATGGCTATATTTTTTTCATTATATCTTGTTCAGACCCATTAGATTACAGTATAATGCGATGTGGTTATTCATACTGTGCTATACACATCCCGATACTTGGTATATTTGATGGCATAGTAAATAATGTAATACCGACTTTTACTATTGTCACCTTTAGCAGTCTTCTTCTTGTACGTGTAATATGGCAAAAATGCCGCTTACACCAACCAATACAGTGGCGTAATTACCGAAAAATGGCAGCTCAACTATTGTCAATTTCAAGTATTTATTTATTCTTTTATTTTCCAATAATGATTCTATATGTTTTATATGCATCCGGTATACCATTGGATGACAATGCTCTCGATTACTACGGTTCCAGCCTTTATTTCATGCCTCATATTATAATGTTCATTCCTTTCGTAAACTTCATCTCATTACCAGACTTGCGAACAAAGTTGAAAACCTGTATTTTATTTCAGAGAAATCGAACAAATGCTATTGCTCCTAATCTTATTACAACACGTCGTCCGATGACATCCCACATGGCTGCAGTACTACCAAATACACACTAATATTTTTATACGTATCGTTATTGAAATAAAAACAAATATCTGAACTATGCGAAATTGCTGCATTAAAGTCTCCATACACTAGGTCTACTGGCCACTTTAGAAGTATTGTCTTCTAATTTTACCAAAGGACATGATTGATTGGGTTTTAAAATCGTTCAGATTTTGCCTTCAGACAGTTTTCTCACAGGTGGAATATAATACTGATATATTACATTCTGCAAGCAAAACATGAGAATCATTTAACCTTATACTCTCCCTAAGGCGATTCTCGAAGAGCTATTGAGGGAGTAACTGCAGAAATAGAGTGCTAGTCTCTCCAATATATCAATAGTATGAACAGATCGACAAGACTGGCTGTCATTTATGCGCAGTATTCTGGTTAATCCAGTAACAATAAAAAAATCGAGGAAATAGAACGATTCGAAAAATCTTGATTTCTTACATTTTTATAATAGCGTTCATTAGACAAAAATGACCTCTATTACATTTGATTTCGCTGATAGAAAACAAGAAATAATGAATACTCGACAAGTCAGTTTCAAACAAGACACATATACATGATACCTCTGAAAAAAACTATTTATTGTCCTTATAATAATAACATCATCAATAGAGATCATAGCCGTGAGCCTGGACCGCTAGCTGGCATACATCTGGCAAACGACGATGTGGTTGTGGGCGTTTGATATTCACATCTACACCCTAATGTGAACGATAGTGAAGCCATCCAACGTGGAATGAATTCTTAGATGTTATCATTTGATAGATTTTTATATTTAATAGAACAGTTCGTTTTTTCAAAGTATGTTTTGGCTTACTTATCTCTGCTCTCTCTAGTTTTTAAATGTCTACGCATTTGTTGCTATTAGTATCGCATATTCAATCTTCTATTCATCATTTCGAGATAAGCTATAATACTAACTTGTTTTCACAAAACAACAGTGAATACATTTATGAATAAGAAGGGCACACACTCACCCACACCCTTTACTGCTAAATATTGTCGTTCACGTATTTACATCAATTTCTTGAACGAATCTATTTATCAGAAACCATATACAACCGAAATTATTGTTTTACATGTGCAGTTTGATTTGGTATTAGTGCACACCGTACTCTCACTACGCGAGTTTTGACATGATTTGCCAGATAAATGTAAACTTTAGATTGCACGTCAATACTTGACTCGCTACCAAACGAATTTTTATACAACTGTATCATCCACTGCAATTTACTATACTCTGCTTTTTTTAATAGAATTCTTGATTTTTCGTATGCAGATAACGATTGTACCATAAGGAATGACCGCGTTTTGTATTTTATTTTCTCATCATCTAGTACCTTTATTTTAGAAACAAAATATACTATAAGAAACAGCGTGAAAAGCTCTACAAGTTACATTCAAAATTTTATTTTATATATGCACCATTTGTTTTCAAACTGCGAAAAATCCTATGTACTCAATTTTCGACGCTGCGAAAAGTGATCGCATATAATTTTGCTTTATTTTAAAAAGAAAAGTACACAATAAAAATCACCTTTACTTTGTAGATCGTAGAGCTTTTCATGCTGCATTTTCCAATGTATTTTATTTTTCTTAAGGAGAACTTATTGGGCAATAAAAAGATGAAATAAGAAAAAAATGGTCTTTTTTCAGCGTTGAAAATTGGGTACATAGAATTTTGTACAATTTGAAAACAAACGGTGCATATATAAAATCAGATTTTTAATGTAACTTGGAGAGCTTTTCAATCTGCGTCTTATCATATATTTTGTTTTTAAAATAAAGATACTAGATGATGAGAAAGCAAAAGACAAAATGCGGTCATTCATGATGGGATATCTGTTATTCTACCCATTTTTCTGATTTTTAGTCATGATTCGGACCTAAACAAAATCATTTGTTTTTTTATACTTCAAGTAAAATGCCTCTTTATCATGCAAGATGCTTCGATTATGGTACTAAATAAATTAAGCTACATCCATGAAGCGTTACATTTCAAGCACTAGTCACTTTTTTCTGCTGTTTTCTCATGTCAGTACTTAAGACCGAGTGCGGAAGTAACACTATTGTATTGATTGAGAGATAGTCAATTTTCAATGGCTGAATACCAAAGAAACATGCAAATTTATTTATGTTTGCCGCGAACAAAACAATCATTGTTAATAATTGTTCATTGAATTAATTTTTAAAATATTGATTATTGGGATTGATGGTCATCATTGTACATACTTTGCTTGTCTGGGTGATCCAAGCGCGATTGGAAGTGTACCTGTGGGTACCTTTTTAGGAACCAAACTACTTGTACTTGTATTGAAACCATTGTGACGAAAGTTGCCACCGATTGACATGCCCTAAATTATAGTTTCTCATTGAACAATCTGAATATCATATTTCAATAGTTCTTACATTAGTAAAACTATTCGACTGAAAACGATAGACGTTTGGCATCGTGTGAACTTCAGGTTTGTAACCACCGTATTCTTGATTTGTTGTTCGATAGAATGGATGTGGTTCAACCTTTCTGTAGCCTTGCCACCAATCTATCAAAAGTAAAAACGAATAATGATTCATGATTAAAAATATTCTAAAAAAAATCATACCAGGTCGATCGAATCGTTCAGGAATATCAAATGTTCTATAGTAACTGCTTGTTCGTAGATCACTCGTATTCGATCTATTTCGATGAACTACTCCATGCGGTTGCAAATATGTAGTACTCAAGTAGGTAGGAACATTATTCGATTGATAGAGAATAGAACCATCAGGGCTAACTTCCGAATATTTTGGGAGAGGTGCATTGCGATCATATTGATAATGTGAATCGAACATTTGAAGGTGAATAAAAAAAAAGAGAATTTTAATCTACAATTAAGCAAACTCTCTGAAAAGAATTTTGAGTAGTAACATTTTTCAAAACTTAGGTCTCCATAGTAAAAGAAAGTTTCAAACATTGTTTGGCTTTTTTCCTGTTCATAAAAAATACCCTAGAGAAATAATTCTAATTCACATTGATCAATCGAAAATTCATGTTTGTAGAATCAACACTACTACAAAGTTTCTAATGATCAACTATGAAATCAAAACCATGTTAAGACTAATGAAACATATTTACTTTTTTGTCTTGCAGACTGAATAGATGACGAAAAAAAAAGTGAACATCTAAGTTATGTATAATCGAATCAAGCAAACATTCGACTATGTACAAACATGAGTTTTTCAACGGTAATAATAGCTACACATACTGACTTGAGAGAGGTGAGTTGCTATGAAAGAATTTTGTCAATGTGTTTCATCTGTCAATAGATTTTAATTGAAGGCT